CTCTATTTGCGGAGAGGATGTAGGACTCGGGAGCTATAATAGGTTTGGTAACCAGGCTATATTTGTATTGATTGATGCATTTCAGTTGCCTTTTGCAGAAACATCTTGTCAGCAGCAGCTGGTTAGATTACATTGATAACGTCACCTTATATGTTTGCTTCCGTAAAATGATGTTCCAATCATAATTTTCTGTACAGAAAAAGTCAGAAGAAAAGAAGGAGAAGAAGAAGGAAAAAGAGGTCGTGACATACGACATTCAGACCCCGCCTGGGGAGAAGAAAGGTCAGTCTTTGTAGGATGATGTAATAGAGACGGAATCAAATGACATGTATACATAAAATTACTATTTGTTGGCTCACACACCAGAAAACCCCTCGCTGTAATTAACAGTGCATAAATAAAGTTAATGTTTTGTTAATTTTTTATCAACACTCTCTTTGGCAATAAATGAATTAAAGAAAAACAAAAGGAGACTTTTAACAGATTTTGTGTATTCAAGATGTAGTAAATGAATAAATGTATGTGTAGAAATGAAAATGGTACATGTAACCTTCAAATGTTCAATCCTGTTACTCTGACTTTGTGCTAGAAGTACTAACCACTGATGTTTTCTTTGTTATATTGCAGATGTGGCCAGTGAAATGCCCAATGCTTACAGCCCCAAGTACGTAGAGGCAGCCTGGTACCCCTGGTGGGAGAAACAAGGATTCTTCAAACCTGAGTATGGGGTGAGTTCTCAGCTGTTAGAAGCCCACTGACTATATGAGATGACTGTAGTGTAGAGAAATCTATGCAAACATCTTTAGGGATATTTAGCAATTTCAACCTTCTCCCTGCTGCCTAACCGGCATAAGCAACACAAATTTGGCTAATGGCTACCATAGCAGGCTGAAGGTTGAAAAAAAAAAACAACTGATGTCTACAAGAACCCAACTCTGGTATGGATCAGCTCATGATAGTGATCATTCCCAGTGGGCCTTTGTTTATTGTTTGTTTATTTATTTATTATTTACTCCTACAGAGGAAGAGTCTACAGGAACCCAACCCTAAGGGACAGTTTGTGATGGTGATCCCCCCTCCCAACGTGACTGGTTCGCTCCACCTGGGTCACGCCCTCACCAATGCCATTGAGGACAGCATCACCAGATGGTGAGGGTCAAACAGTCTATGTTGTCTGAAAAGACAGCTTTTTTAAAGAATTGATTGGTCAATGATTGGTCTCAGTTACATTTTAATACTATAACAGTAGAGTCACAGGAAGTGAGGGGGAAATGGTGTAAAGGTAGACTGACAGGAAGGTCAAATTGGAGATCAAAATGGCCTCAGGCAGGCCAGAAGAAAATAACAATAGAATGTTACTTTCCAGAACCAGCCAGAAGTCTCCTGCTTTGGACTTCATAATCATATGCAAAGATAGAGGTTCAGGTCATTCAATTACAACACAAAAGCAACTCATAGAAACAGTTACTAATTTAGGACATGAACATACAGGCAGTTCTGGAAACTAAACTTTGCTATGCCTCTTAAAAAGGAGAACTAATGATGAAGATGATGATGATCACTCTGTAATTTCCAAACTCCAGGCACAGGATGAAAGGGAAGACAACTCTGTGGAACCCCGGCTGCGATCACGCAGGCATCGCTACGCAAGTCATCGTGGAGAAGAAACTCCAGAGAGAGGAGGGTCTGTCTCGTCACGACATTGGGAGGGACAAGTTTGTAGAGAAGGTCTGGAAGTGGAAAAATGAGTGAGTATCAAGGCTAAAAATAAGTGGTCCACTGGCCACTGACCACTAAACTTTAGGCTGGGACAACTAAAAAGACACTTTGGGACATTTTTGGGACTATAGAAAAATAATGAACATCAGAATGTTAGCCCTTCTTTTGTTTATCAGGCACACGTCCCGGCTTTTGGATCCGGAAAAGTACTCCTGAATTTCCTGTCTACACTGCAATTATAGTGTGCCTGGGGGTGAACATAAGCAGAATAAAGTTGACGTCAAGTTGAAATCATACAATACTTCCCAAAACACAGGTTGGGACAGTTCATCTTCACTACGGGACAATTGAAATTTATTTTTGGGACAGTGCTGGGACAATGGGAAGAAAAGTTAATTTCGAAGCCTGAGTATCCTTTGAGTTTGAGGAGAATTGAGGAGGGTGTCAGCAATCTTACAGGGATAATTTTTTTGTGAAAAAATGGCACCTATATTGTACTTTTTGCCTGAATTTAAATGTAAAATCATTTTTTGTACTGTTTAAACTTGGTCAGAGAAAAAATGAATAGTAATCGAAAATTGTAATATTGATAATAAGAAATATACTTAACTTTCTTTCTGTTGAATATATTTAACTTTTCAACATTTTTTTGTCTTTAGGAAAGGAGGGCGGATCTATGAGCAGCAAAGGCTGATGGGAATCTCTGTGGACTGGGAACGTGCAGCCTTTACTATGGATGAGGTGAGTCTGGAGTTGTTGTTTTTTGGTTCAGCTTCTCTAGTTTTGTCTCTTGGTCCTATGTTTTGGGGTGGCATCAAGACAGTGTCCAAGTGGCTAAGGCAACCAGATACCAGATCAAGAGGTCATATGTGTAGTTTGATTCTGGTCTTAGGATGTATTGACTAACTGGCCAAAGAATTTTTTATGCTGTATCATCTTCCAGTTCAGCATTACCTTTTTAAGGATACGAGAAATAGCTACATGTTATTAGATTGGTCTGGCGTTACCAAGACATAGCACTTACATAGCATGAGTAGCGTGCGTAGTCCAGTGGTTAGCGATCCTGCCTCTGGACTAAGAGGTTGGAAGTTCGAATCCCGGCTGATGTCGCTCACCCAACATGCACGCTACTGTTTAGGGTCGCAGTCCTTCGGACGAGACGTTAACGGTGGTCCACTGTTCATTGTGCTTGTCGAAAAGCCCAGCAATGAACCTGTAAATACTGTATATAGCGTATGTCTTCTCTGTCACGACCAGTGGAAGATAAGCTCTTCGATGACATAAACTGGATCGAGATCACTTTCTTTCTTACATGTGCTTAATTTTCTCATGTATTCTGTCCTCCTATATGAGTCCTAACTTGAGCAATAAGTCTTTAATTTCTGTTCCTTCTCCAGAAACTGTGCAATTGTGTGAAGGAAGTCTTTGTCAGGCTCCATGACGAGGGGATCATCTATCGTAGCAACCGGCTGGTCAACTGGTCCTGTCGCCTCAATTCTGCTATCTCTGATATTGAGGTATGTTTCAAGTAGTGATGCATACTTGTTCACTGGACTTGGATCCGGACTTGTAAGAATTCAAGTCTAAAAAAACCTAAATGTCAAGAACCGAGTCCGGACTTATTACCATAAAAGACCATTTCACATACCCCTTTTCTTTCCTACCCTCCGTAGATTGCAAAATCTTAGCTGCAAAATGAAGAAAACATTGCCATCGGGCATTGTCAAGTACCGGCCTCCATGTTATGTGGCCAAAGTTTCACCCAGACAACATTGAAAGGTTGCCAACATACAATTTTGTATATGCCATGGGTTTAGGTCCGGACTTACGAGTCCGGAACTGAACCTAAACCTCTGGACTTGAATCCGGACCTGAACCTAAAAGTGGGTTTAGGTATGCAGCACTAGTTTCAAGGGTTAATTCAATTGCTATCCTTTTTATAACTTGTAAGGAAGATAGCTTTAGACTAAAGGTTGTGGCTGTGCTCAAACTTGGGACCGTAGCTCATAATAATGTCTGCTACCAAAGAAAGCAGCCAAGATAGAAGTCTGAAAATAGCAAAAGTAAATGTTTTGTTTCTCCCTTTTTTTGTATAGGAAAAATGTAACTGTCAAAAAAAAACATTTGTATGGAAGTCAGAAGTATCGTTTTGGGTGGCTGAGCTGTTGGTTTGGAGCTTGACAGCACGTGGGTTAGGGTAGATTGACAGGCAGTATGACAGGAGTTTTAAGTGTCAGACACAGGACTTGGGGCAAACTTGAAGGTCACAAAAACCCAAAATACTTCCTAGAAGTCTAAAATCTCTGATTTCTTGTTCTAATTTGTATTTTTCCACTGCAGGTTGATAAGAAGGAGATACCAGGCCGTACCCTCCTGGCTGTGCCGGGGTATGAGGAGAAGGTTGAGTTTGGTGTGCTGGTGGAGTTTGCCTACCCTGTGGAGGGATCAGGTCAGTTAGCAATAGTGCTGCATACTGGTTCCCTGGACTTGGATCCGGACTTGTAAGAACGTTAAAGGTTCAAGTCCAAAAAAACCTAAAAGTCAAGAACCGAGTCCGGACTTATTACCATAAAAGACCATTTCACATACCCCTTTTCTTTCCAAACCACCTAAAACCTTCCATAGATTGGAAAATCTTTGCTGCAAAATGAATAAAACATTGCCATTGGGCATCGTCAAGTACCGGCCTCCATGTTATGTGGCCAAAGTTTCACCCAGACAACATTGCAAGGTTGCCAACATGCAATTTTGTATACTGAACCCAAACCTCTGGACTTGAATCCGGACCTGAACCTAAAATTGAGTTTAGGTATGCATCACTAGTTAGCGATGTTGGTTATAAAAGGTGAAGGTAGTCCCTTAGCCTTTTTTAGGCTGTAGGGGGCAACTTGGATTGTTAAGCCACTGTGTCTAGGGCACGGTACTGGACGGTGGAGCCCTGCCCTTGCATTCCACCTCCACAATTTAACAAAAGTCAGGCACAGATTACATATTGTCACTAATGTTTCCAGAAAGATTACCATTTGAAATAAAAAGTTCAATGTGCATGCACTCTGATGCACACAATCTATTTAGATTGTAACAATGTCATGATATATTGCCTGAGTTAATGAGCATTGTTACAAACCAACCCTAAGTGTTGTACTGCAGTTCCTTGTTATGTTATGATTTCTGAGATTCAGGACGATGTTTAATTCTTGTGCCCTACAGATGAGGAGATTGTTGTTGCGACCACCCGTATTGAGACCATGTTAGGAGATACGGCTGTAGCTGTGCACCCACAGGACGACAGATACAAGGTTACTGATTACTTTTGGTTGTCCAATCATATCCAATCTTTGCTTAGGGTCTCATGCATGTATTACTCCGAGTGTACCCCCTAAAAGAGTATCAAGTCGAAAACTAAATGGCTGTATGAACGCGTGTTTTATTGGTGAGAATTTTCCCTTTAGCCATCCCAACTGATGTAAAACGTCAAAGCGTTGAAAGCTTGTTTGTAACTGATGAAATTAGGACATAATTGTTGGCAGCCACACATGGGCACTGAAGTGAAGTCCAGAGAGTCTTAAAAGTCATTACTCGAAACTCTATATAACTGATAATTTTGAATCCGCAGCACCTCCACGGGAAGTTTGTCCTCCATCCCCTGTTGGAGCGCCGCATGCCCATCGTGTGTGACGACTTTGTGGACAGGGAGTTCGGCACAGGTAAGGCAATCAGGCCAGCACGTCGGCAGAACGTACTGCGCCTGCGCAGGACCCCGTATTTTCACGTTTTTCGTTGGGTTTTGGTCAACGTTGCATCAGAGTTTTGCCTGTTGCAGAGGATATTCTTTCCGACATAACATTTGGAAACTACTGTCGAAATGCTAACCTTATATGAGCGAATACAACCTTATATGAGACATTCTGCCGAACTGCTATGTACAATACATTACTGGTTTTGCGCAGGTGCAGTACGTTCTGCCGACATGCATATGCTATCAGGCCTGAGTATTTTACATTTCAAGTACTGAGATACTGTGGCTTTTATATTAGCTAGTTCTTTTTGGAACATACATGTAGAGTTGGCACAGCTATGGTTCTGTAAGCTATAGTCTTACCTGAATATTATCCATTTCAAGTGACTTAGACATCCAGGTAATAATATATCAACCCTTAGGTAACAGTTACTCAAGCAACTGTAAAAACAATTGAAAGCTATCTAGTTGCTTGAGTAATGGTCACCTTGGTAACCTAGGAAAACAAACAAAATTAGAGTTCTCACAAAACAACAGTTTGTTAGTGCTTACATGAAGCATTGATAGGATATGTCTTTATTGTGTGTCCATTTTATAATAATAATTGTTTATTGATTGATCGATGAGTACAATCTCTAGCATGTGGCAGCGCAACTAAAAAAGTAGCGCTGAATTGTATGCTAGTGTTTAAAAACAGAGAAACAAATATTGCACAGTTAACAAATACACAACTACATTGTAAATAAGTGAGTATTTCACAGTTAACATATAGGCAACTAAATAAGTGCGTAAAACGAGCTTAACAATATTCACAATATCAATGTATAATATATTTTATATATTTATTATAGGTGCTGTGAAGATCACCCCTGCCCATGACCACAATGATTACGACTGTGGGAAGAGGAACAACCTGGACTCTGTCACCGTCATAGATGACAGCGGACTCATGACAGAAGACTGTGGGGACAGGTTCAAGGTCAGATACAGTTGCAACATCCCCTATCTCTTGTGTAACTATTTTTTAAACCATTATATCACTGAAATGATAGTAGAGGCAGTTGAAGAGCAGTTAAAGTAGGTCACATGGCAGAAAAGATTAGCAAAGCACATTGAACAAACAATCCTTAGCAACCACTTTCTCACAGTCCAATAGTTGCTAAGACAAGGCTTGACTATGTATGTGTGGCTCCTGCAAAATTACTTTCAGAAGTACTTTCACAGAAAGTTTTCTAAGATGAAGTGTGTTGTTTTACTTGTTGTAGGGCATGAAGCGTTTCCATGCCAGGAAGGCCGTGTTGGAGGCTCTGAAAGAGAAGAACCTGTACAGGGGAACAAAGGACAACCCCATGGTGGTCCCAACGTGCAGGTAATCAATGAATTTATTGTAAAGGGAAAAAGAAGAGGAGAGCTACATGTGTTTAATAGCATTTGCCTGTAAGGTTACACAGACTTACTGTAATTTATTACTACTATGTGACAAAATTGTTTCAACATCCTACATTATCTATTGATAATTACAATGTTCACCCTGACATGATGTTTTGTTTGCCCACAGTCGTTCTAAGGACGTGATAGAGCCCCTACTGAAGCCCCAGTGGTACGTCAACTGTAAGGACATGGCCGCTGCTGCTGTGGAGGTCAGAATTTAACTGTTACTCAGCATTTTTGGAAATGGGTGCACTGGAGATTTGACCTTTTTCCCATTAACTTGAGTACATGTAAATGTTACCTTTCATTGGTATCTTATCACCGGCCTGGGTGTCTAACCCTTCATAGATGCATCTGTCTCTGTTCACTCAATGAAACTGGTGTCATTGAGTGTCAATTTAGTCTGTCTTCATTTAGTTGCTTTTAAATCTCATTCTCCAGGTAAACCACTTGAATGTAACATATACTCACAGCAGGCAACTGAATAGATTTTGACTGTTTTTCCAGCTGCTTGAGAAACAGTTTTCTTGTGTTTCTCATTAAGCGGTGTTCTACCCAGTCTGAAATTTCTTTCCATCACCTCAATTTTGCCAGACGAAACATCATATTGAACACCGAAGTGAGCAATTTTGACCCTCACAAATGCTATTTACTGAATTAATTTATTTTTTAGGGCAGATTTTCTGGTAGACTTACCTTAGGTTTAATGGTCTCTTTCCACATCTTTACACAGCAATTTTTGTCCGTCAAACATGACGGATTGCGCAAACTTTTTGTCCATCATGAGCAGCAAAATTCTGTCAAATGAGGAAAGACGAACGCTGACTAGAACACTGGTCTAACCTTCCTCGATGTCCCCCAGGTTGTTCGTAACGGTGAGCTGAAGGTGATCCCAGACTTCCACGAGGCGACGTGGTACCGCTGGATGGAGAACTGCCGTGATTGGTGCATCTCCCGCCAGCTGTGGTGGGGACACCGCATCCCAGCGTACTTCATATTAACTGTCAACGACCCCAGCATTCCACCAGGAGCTGTGAGTAACTTCAGTGTCTGGCTTTGAACTCCCCATAAATTTTTGGTCGATGTCATCATTCTTCATCAGATAAGCTTTCATTCGAAAAAATTGTTATACTTAAATTGAAAATTCTCGTATAATTTATGTGATTGTCATTTACATGAATGGACTGTGGTTTGACTGAATTATAGTAGTCATACATGTACATTGTATATAATAAAAAAAAAAAAATTATTATGGAATGGAAATGCTTCACTGTGAGTGTGTTTAAACTCTATATCTTCTCTATCATATCAAAATCTTTTTCCTCCATGCTGCCTGTTGTGTCCTTCAGGCGGTAAGTCTCTTACAGATGCAACTTGCATGAAAAAGGATGGTCTTGTGCTGACTTCTATAGCTGTCTTTTACTCTGGTACTGAATTCTGACAAAACTAGGCCCTTATTTTTTTGTCATAGTAGTCTTTCTGCAAAGTTATAATGCTCTTTGGCCTCATTGTCTGTTTCTCACCTCTGATTCTCTTCTCTTTACAATAATGGTTGTCGTTGCCTTAACTCTAATTTAATCTTAACACATTTACATGTACGATGTTATTATTAAACTGCAGGATGTTGATGAGAAGTACTGGGTCAGTGGCAGGGACGAGGCTGAGGCTCGCAGGAAGGCTGCTGAGAGATTTGGGGTGTCAGAAGACAAGATCTCTCTCAGACAAGGTCTGCACTTTTCTTTGGTCTTTCTTTCACACCCAAAAGGTCCAATTTCTTCAAGTCAATTTGCTGATATTTAATATGTAATTAATATGTAGAGGCAAGCCAAGATAGAGACATATTTTCTTAACAAAATTTACTGCTATATTTTATCCGAAATTATTACATTTTGACATTTTTGTGCTCCAGATGAGGATGTTTTGGACACCTGGTTCTCCTCTGCCTTCTTCCCCTTCTCCATATTTGGCTGGCCGGAACAGGTTTGTTTGTTTATTTGTTTGCTTGTGTTCTTCTGTAGGTGTTTGTAGAAGGAACAATAGACCTGATTGTTTGTTCTTCAGGGTTGGTCATAAAGATCCAGAGCTGTGTTTGTTTAATGTTTTTCTCTCTGTTATTTCAGACCGAGGAGTTTAAGTTGTTCTACCCCGGGACCCTCCTGGAGACAGGACATGACATCCTGTTCTTCTGGGTTGCTCGTATGGTCATGATGGGACTCAAGATGATCGGCAAACTGCCCTTCAAGGAGGTGGGTTCAAATTATGTGTTTCATGTACTTGAAACTAGTATGTAAGGCCCCAAGTTTACATGGTTCAAAATGATAACCTTAAGAAGCCTCATGTCTTCTATGCCTGGTACCTAGCTATCTCCCCTACGAGGGGTTCGAAATATATTGTAAACAATGTCAGTTTCTGATCAGTGTTTAGAGGAGGGTTGTGGTGGCCTCAAGAAAGCTACATGTATATAGGTAAGGAGTTCCACAGTCTAGGCATTGATGAATGATGGAAGTTGACCGTTCTATGCCTGCCCCCCAGGTGTACCTGCATGCGTTGGTGAGAGACGCCCACGGCAGGAAGATGAGCAAGTCTCTGGGGAACGTGATCGACCCTGTCGATGTCATCAACGGCATCACGCTGGACAACCTGCACAAACTGCTGGAGAACAGCAACCTGGACCCACGGGAGGTCGCACGGGCGAAACAGGGACAGGTGAGGTTACAGCACACTTCTTACAACACACGTTACAACACACGTTACTACACACCTAAGGCTAACCTTCACAAACTGCTGGAGAACAGTTGTAACAACATATATAAAGACAACCTGCACAACTTCTCGAAAACAGAGAACACTTACTACAACATCTGTTACAACACACTTGTTACAACACAACTGTTACAACCAAACTGTTACACTACAACAGGTATTACAACATACAGTACACGTTTTGCAGTAGCACACTCAGTACAGCATACCTAAAACACATGTTCTAATGCTAACCCATCCTACAAAATGTAACAAAAATTGTAAATAGTCACCTTTGACTCATTTTGCAACAACAAAAGTTAAGTTACCGGTACTACAGTATAAGTATATTTCTGATGTTCTTCTTTCCCAGAAAGAGGATTACCCCAACGGTATCCCAGAGTGTGGCACAGACGCCCTGAGGTTTGCCCTGTGTGCCTACACCTCACAAGGTGAGGTTTGGTAGTAATGATATTAATACTGGTAAAACATACGTGTAGCTTTGATGGAGGTAAGCATACAATGTACATACTCTCTCTGTGTGGTTGTCTTCTGGTACATACAATACAATGTATGTCTCGGTGCTATGCATTCAGTTTTCATTAAAGAATGCTTCAAATTTTGGATACTGGTGATTTAGGAACAATCTATTTGTGTGGGAGTGGGATAGATCCATTTTTGGTACGGGGGATGTGGTGAAGCTATTTGCTGCATTAGCTTCTGAGCACATGTCGCCCTTTCTAATTAAAGAGTGATCTTTATTTCCAGGCCGTGACATAAACCTGGACGTGCTGCGTGTCCAGGGTTATCGCTTCTTCTGTAACAAGATGTGGAACGCCACCAAGTTTGCCCTCAGCAGCCTGGGGGAGGGATTCCAGCCCAGGTTTGAGGCCAAGGTGAGTCCAGGTGTTATAGAGCTGTTTTTAACTGCCTATTATTGTTAAAAGGTAGTGGTAGTGCTTCAGTAGCGTGCATAGTCCAGTGGCTAGCGGCCTTGTCTCTGGACCAAGAGGTTGGGAGTTCGAATCCCAGCTGTTGTCGCTGGGATCTGGATCAAGATCACTTTCCAATTACTTTCCTTTTCCTTCTCGCAGCTGTCCGGTAGTGAGCGTCTGATTGACCAGTGGATCCTGAGCAGACTGGTGGCCGCCGTGGACGCCTGTAACCGCGGGTTTGAGAACTACGACTTCCCCCTGGTGACCAACGGCGTCTACAACTTCTGGCTCTACGACCTCTGCGACAAGTATCTGGTAGGTTCAAAGTTCATCTGTGTTGCTAGAAGCCTCTTCTAAAACTAGTTTGAACTAGTTATAATTTCCAAGACAAAAATTTGGGCTTACTCCAGTTTTCAACTGTTCAAGTGCAGTCTTTGTCAGGTATTGAGTGATCCACTGTTTCTGTGATATTGCCATATGTGGATTTGAAGATATCAAAACCCATTACTTGCAGTTAAGACTCAGGCAGTGAAAAAGATGCACATATACCTGGAGTGTAACTTGATTGGTCTAGGGACTGATCACTGATTTTTTTTGATTGACTGATTCACACAGGAAAGCATCAAGCCCATTATCTACGGGAAAGACGAGGCAGCAAAAGAGACGACCCGGCAGACGCTGTACACCTGCCTGGAGGTGGGCCTGCGCCTTCTCAGCCCCTTCATGCCCTTCATCACTGAGGAACTATGGCAACGGTTACCACGACGATCCAACGAGGCCCCGCCCAGCATCTGTGTGGCGTCATACCCAGAGGCAGAAGAGGTAGGGATGATTTTATTTTTAAAGTTTTTGAGGTATTTTTATTTTTTAGTCGTCATTCTACCCATACATATATAAAATGCCTTTATATGAAATGGACAAAATTACTTTTAACCTTCTCCTTGCTTCATAATACCTTTAAGTATTTAGGCAGCCAAATGGTTACTTCAGTGTAATAAAGGTTTATAAAAAGAGATGATAATGAGGAACATAACCGTTAAACCTAAAATTCTTTTTTTAAGGAATTAACAATTCACACCTGCACAAAAATTGATTTTTGATTTATTGTATTAAATTTTTTGTTGCTATGATACAGTTTCCATGGAGACAGGAGAACCTGGAGGAAGAGCTAGACTTTGTTCACGAGGTGAACTGCAGAGCACGGTCCATCCGGGCAGAGTACAACCTCACCAAGCAGAGGCCTGAACGTAAGCATGAACAGTCTATAATGAAGTCCCATAGTCTTTTTCAGGCTGTACCAGGGGCAATAGTTAGTTTCCTCACTGTGTCTAGGACGCTAGGACATGTTATTAGAAGGTGGAGCCGATCCCTCTCCTTCCACCGCCTTCTACCTCCCCAACGAAGGTCAGGTACCGATTTTACACCTGGGAGAATTAGTCAAGCCAGGAATGCCAGGAATTGAGGGATGGGCTCCACCTTCCAATACCATATCCAAGACTCAGTGGATTGACAACTTGCTGCCCTTACAGCCTGGAAAAGGCTATGGGACTACCTTTACCTTTTTTTAAGCTGGCAATTAGAAGTTTTTTTTTTAAATGTCACCTAAGCCAGGGATTCTTGGAGGCAGTCTTGGAGGACCCTGTGTGCCCCCAGGACAGAGCTGAGTGAGTGAGTCACTTAAGCCAAAACTTTTTCACTGTCTTCCCTTCAGTGTACCTGCAATGCTCGGACAACTCGGTTGCTGGGATGTTGAACAAGTACACTGACATCATCACCATCCTATCCCAGAGTGGAAAGGTCGTGACCCTGGTGGACCAGGCCCCGCCCGAGGGCTGTGCCATCCTCACTGTGTCCGACAAGTGTACTGTGCACCTCTTACTCAAGGTAATATCACTGTCTGACAAGTGTACTGTGCACCTCTTACTCAAGGTAAAGATCACTGTCTGACAAGTGTACTGTGCACCTCTTACTCAAGGTAATATCACTGTCTGACAAGTGTACTGTGCACCTCTTACTCAAGGTAAGGATCACTGTCTGACAAGTGTACTGTGCACCTCTTACTCAAGGTAAGCATGGAAATGGACTTGGATAATGATGGTATATTGTTTTTGCTCTGTTTCATCTTCTCCAAAAAAATAAGGTCATTGACCTGGACCAGAGGGCTGTCACCATGGTAACTGGTCCTGGGTTACATTATGTAGCAAGTGGCAGAACAGAGTTGGATGGGGTGGTCACCATACATATACAAATGCATTTGAGCATTAATAAACAGAGCAGTAGCTTGTTAGACATAGACAGTGTGAAGTAAACATAATGCATTGGCTCTGCTAATGTTCTAGTTCTTGTTTCTTCATGGTTTCTTCATGTTCTCCAACCAGGGCATGGTGGATGCCTCGAAGGAGATCACTAAGCTGGAAGGGAAGAAGTCGAACCTGAACAACCAGGTGGACAAGATCCTGAAGGAGATGAGCATCCCTGACTACGAGAACAAGGTGCCGGAACAGGTGCGGCAAAGGAAGGACGAGAGGGTGAGTCTACTGTTTTTGTTGTTGTTGTTGTTTGTCACATTGATAAAATGTGTGCTTGGCACATGGGCAACACCAAATGCATAGGTGTCCTCATCAGTGTTTGGACACTGTTTAAAGGGATTAACCAAGAGGCACCATAGGCATCACTTCACCATACAATGAGAAAGTTGTGCCAAGTGCCTTTCCAAAGGCACAAACCTGGTGCCTCTTTGTTCTGACCATATGATGCCACACTAAAAGTGGCCCATTAAAAGTTTTGAAAATCATCATTTTTACTGTTTGCATGCTTTTTTAGGTACTAGTAATAAAGATGTAATGCAGTTTTAGATATATTTTATCAGACAATGGCCAATGCTAACCAACTGCTTCTCTTTCCACAGAAAGCACAGATGGAAGGGGAGATAGAGGCCATCACCAAGGCTATTGAGAACTTCCAGAAGCTTCTATGAGCATCTAGGCTTTAGCTGTTCAACTTGACCCCCTGTCAAGGAATTGGGACCATCCATATTTCTATAGGGTCATCAGCTTTTGGAATAGTCCACCTTATGGAAAAGGGATGAAATAAATTTCGGCAAGTTTAACTTTACAGACAGAAATTTATGTTGGTATGAATTGGAGAAAATATTTATCATCATCTATTATTTCCATGCAAAACTCTTCTACTTATTGATACTTATACAAACATGAATACAACTGTTGAAAATGTTTTATGAAAATGTAGATACAAGAAAAAATGTTAGGTTTATTCTCTACATGTGAATTTAAAAGTTTGCGTCACCCAACATTGTTTATGTGTAGGTATACCACATGTATGGATTATTCAGAAGATATTACTTAAGTTTTAAGGTATGAAATGGAATGATGAAAAAGGACTCATTCTGGTGAAGAATCAAGTAAGTTGCAAGTCTGTTTTCAAAGTATTAAGATAGTCAATCAAGTGAAATTGTATCAAAATAATGCAACTCATAATCTTCTCATGTGGCTGAAATATAATGTCATGAACCAAACACTTCTTGGGAGGGTTCACATCTTCCAATATTACGAAACACTTCAATCTATAGACTATACTACAAGAAAGGCAGACTGTTTAAGTGTTAAGACTGCAAATTTATGTCATAGGTAAAGCATGGTATATATGGGTCATAAGAATAAATGCATTCTATTGAAAATAATTTTTTGCAGAATCTTGGTCTTGATTCTAAATGAATCTAATGAATCAAGTAGAAGTAGGTTAATGCCTTGTACATGTAATAAGCACTGAGTCTAAGATAATGTCTTCTGTGGAATTAAAAACCATGCAGGAAAGTCGCACTAGTAAAGAATATGTTAAGCCAGGAGTAGAGGGGAGCCATGCCAGAGAGAGGGAGAGGGCATCAGGGACCGGACAGGCAGGTCACAAGCAGACTGTACACAGAGGGCCAAGGACAGAAAAAACGGATGGGGCTGGTGCTGGAAACGACCATATTCTCCTACCTTCAAGAATAGAATTTGACAAGGTGAAGTGTTAAGCCACGATCTGTGTTTTCAAACCCTTCTGCACCGCTTAAAATTACCAGCTATTAGAAGATAATCTGAGGTTGTGTTTCCTTTTACTCAGTATAACAAAGATGGGCAAACACACCTCAAAACTCCATTGTACGTCACAAAATAAAGAGAAAAAGACGTAACAAGTGATTCCATTTTCTTCTATGACGACTTTAATGTCATTATCATTGTTCAAACCTTGTGATTTATCCTGATTGGCCACGAGTAGTCACGTGACTCCGGTTGCTCACTATCTTGTTCGAGAACGTGGTATGTTGTGGCGCATGACGCAGTATGTTGTAGATAGCACACCGTCGCACACCGTCTTACTAAGGTACGTCAAGGTGTCAATTTTCATTATAAAGTACAAATTACTTCTTACAGTGCGTGCCCTGCTCACACAATTCAAGGGCTAACCCTGGGATCTTTGTCAAGTGAAAGTTTCGTTCGCTTAGGAAAGTTTTCACGTGACGTTATAACGCTAGATGATTTGAAAACTGTTGGGTTTCGTTTTTTTCGCTCAAATTTGTCCAGCGAACTAATTATAAGATCCCCTTTGTATTGATCACACTGATCTTGGGGAAGTTTGTGAAGTAGGATCAAAGTTACTTCATTGGAGTGAACGACAATCAGACCTGTCCTTGGTGCTGAAAACCATCTCCCATCGGAAAGTCGTAAAACAAGTCAGCGTTACTCCACAAAGAAGACGTGTTGTCATAAGTAGATTCTTTGGCTTGTTTTGAATCCGCGGCACATGTATTTCTAGTAAATACACAAGAGAAATAGTAAGATTGTACTGAGAAAGATGAACAGTATATTTTCCGCTGACATTTGGACATGGCTGATGGAACATTGTGTTTCCGCTGTTCTTGTTAACGACGGAATGTTGTTGCTGTTCCATTGTTGTTAGTGACGATGCATTGTGTTTTTTCTGTTGTTCTGGGTTCCATAGAGATTCAGTACCGTTAGCACTCCACGGTGTCATCGCTGCCTGTTTCAACCTGTGTTTACTCAACGCTATATTAGAGAGGTAAGCACATGTCGTTCTTGGTAATGTTCGCTTTTAATAACGTCATACTCGTTGAAAGAATGTAAGCATGATACTTTTGCTGGAGACAGTGTGACACCGCATTTTACACTGCAGACGTTTTTGTATGTACTGACGCGATATACTAAGCACTAGTAACCTAGTATTTTCTACCAACATTGAGAACTTATAAGTTACATTAAGTTTTTTCAACGAAAAGAGTTGCAGAGAGTTGGCGAATAGCTTCGCTTCATAATCGTTTCGCCCGCTTTCACTCGTAGGATTTGTCACCCTAGAAACGTAAAGCGAGGTGGACCAAGTCAGATCTTCGGAAATGGATGAACCCGCTTCTCAGCCCCTGAAGCTGTTCTGTACGCAGTGTGAGGGCGGCGAGCAGGGCGCAGCCGCGGCGGGCAGCTGTGCGGAGTGCTGCCGCTTCCTCTGCAAGTCCTGCCTGCCGGCGCACGGTACCAGCTTCCCACAACACAGCGTCTTCCCCCTCCCACCACAGGGGGGCTACAGTCAGCCCTTAAACAACCAGATCTGCCGCTACCACAAGGTGAGACCCTTTTTCTATTCTTACGTAAAAGAAAAATCTGTCGATGTGTGAGACCTTCTGCGACTCTTCTGCATGAGAGAAAAATTGCACACAAAAAAATGTTCTATGTATATGTTATAGGCGACGCCCCTCAGCTTCTACTGCAACAACTGCGACCGTCCCATCTGCTTCAAGTGCGCGGCCGAGCACCACTGGAAGCACCAGTGCGTCCAGTCGGAACAAGCCGCGGTCACAGAGAGAGCCTCCCTGGCGACCAGCCTAGCCCTGGCCAAGCACAAGAACCAAGAGTTTGCCAAGGGCCGAACTGCGCTTAACGACATGGTGCGAGCTGTCCAGGACTGCTATAAGAAGACGCTCTTGGACATCTACGAAGCAGGAAACGCCTACAAGACTGCCGTCGACCAGCGCGTCCGCGCTTTGGAAGAGGAGCTGACCATGGGGTACTACGCCCAGCAACTGTCCCTGGCGAAAACCAGAGAAGAGTTTGACGGACAGATGTCCATCATCCGACACAGGGAGTCCCTGTTTCAGTACGTTCTGCAGTCCGGCAGCAACGTGGAGCTCCTGTCGCACAAGAAGGAGATCTCGACTCAGGCAGAGCAACTCGAAACGATGAAGCCACACACCTGTTTCAAGGAGGACAGGTTCTTAAAGTTCGCAGCCGACAGGGGCAAGGTGGAAGGGTTCTTGGCGGAGAACTTCGGGCACCTGAAGGCGTGCCACCTGTCTGAACACCTGTCGTCAGGTGCGGCGGCGGCTTCCTCAGATCTCCGTCCGGCCCAAAGTGACGGATCCATCGCTAGTGATCACGTGAGCGGCGGAGAGTTCGAGGTGACGTCAGAAGTGACGTCGGCCGTGGCGTCAGCCGGCGGTGACGCGCCACGCAGCAGCGCAGACGACTTCATTCCCGGCGGGATCACCATGGCAACCGCGCCGCGGGAGAGAGAGGAGGTCGTCAGGGAGACGAAGTCGGATTCGGAGATTCTGTCGAACGGTGTCGCCATGGCAACGCCGGTGTCCCAGCAGGTGTGGGGTTACCGGGGTGGCGGGAAGGTGACGTCATCAGTCTGGCACCCGCAGTCCGCTCCGGACCTCAGTCAGCTGTTCACAGGTAAGTGCGCAAAAATCTTCATGCATTTGTGGTTTCGTAGTTTTCAATTATTGTATGAATGAAAAGGGTTACAAAATGTCTAGTTTGCTATCGGAACAACAAATGTCTCATGCAAGAAATGACAACTAACAAATTCACCCCTTAGTATCCTTGTCAATGAAGTATCAAGTATACGATCACAATGATTCTAACCGGTGATGTTAAACTTTCGCATTTTCAAACTTCTTGATGAAGGGATCTTTACTGTATTCAACGGTAGCAATTCTAGTATGCAACACAGAATACCGAGTTTTAAAAAACCTTCATGCTGATTCGCAGGTGTGCCCACCCCAGCAGGACCGGTGTGGAGTCACGAGGGTGTTCAGAACGGCTTCTCGGCGGGTAGCAGTCAGCTGTCGGCCTGGGAGAACGCCGTCAACGCGCAGCAGCAGCAGCCTGCCCGGCAGCGCGGCGGGAACAGCGGAGGGTTCTCCCCGTCCATGCCCACAGGAGTCGCCTCCGCCCTCAAACAGGTAGGGTACTGGTTTTAGTCCAATAGTCGCTTTCCCTCCTTCTTGCCTTTCTTCCACATGTGTAGATATGCCACAGCGCAGGAACCAAACCTATACATTTTAAATGGAAATAGCAAATAAGGAGCAGAAATTTGCACCTGGACAGAAACTAAAATGTCTCAATATCCTGATTTGCTAAGAATACAGATTCTTTATTGACACAACAAAAAAGTACAGGGACTTTTTAACTATTAGTAACTACATGCGTACCAAATTTGGTGCTTTTCATACCAGTTGCTACTGTATTTGCTACATTACACTATGCGCAGTACAATCTGCCACCGCCTTTGCTACATTACACTATACCTTCCACACTATGCTACATGCAGTACAAGCAAACCACTGACTTTGCTACACTGTAGGTTCTAGACGACAGTGACGAGGCGGAAGACGAGGACATCACCTACACGTACGCGTCCTACCCCACCCCTCCCCTCCCGCCACAGGCCTGGAGGCGGCAGTATCAGGACGACATGCCCAGGCACAAGGTGACGTTAGGCGTTGAGGGAAAATAGCCGAGTTTTAATACATGTAGCCTCTGCCAGGCTTCCCATACCATGTTACTGTAAAAATGGTAAAAATTGGTCATTGACAAATACTAGTAGGCTGAATAGTATGGCAGAAGAGTTAGCCGGTTAGATGGTACAGTTGGCGACCAGGGAGCCATCTGTCGTCTACTTTTACACCGTTTGAAGATATCGACAGGTTCCCTGTCTTGAGAAGGCTACAGTATGAGGACGTTGTTTCCAGGAATAAGGTGCCGCTAGGCTCAGTTTTGCATTTTGTTGGTCCAGGTTGCGATTGACCTGAAGATCGGGAAGTGGGGAGACATGGAGGGGTACTTCCGCAAGCCCAGCGGCATCTCCGTGGACAGCAGGGGTCAGCTGCACGTGGTGCGTTAGTTTATTTGTCAGTTTGTCCAATTTCATTTCATCACCATGGTTAAACTCTTCCTGGAAGCTTGGCATTTACAACAAAACAAAGATAACTACCTGCCTAAGTGCTTCTCATGTTCAGGCATGGTCCAAGATAGTCCACTTGTATCCAGAACCTCGCCTGGAGCAAATCTACGTTCTTGGATACGCGGGGACTATCCAGAACCGTGCCTGATCCTACAACAAACATCGCATGTTTTGATGTTGTTGTTCACAGGTGGACGTGGACAACTCTCGCGTGCAGATCTTCGACTGCGAGGGGAACTTCGTGCGCGTGCTGCAGCCGCTGGACGAGGAGGCGGACCGGCTGCAGTCACCCTGCTGCATTCACGTGTCACAGTACGACAGGTAACAGCGCTTCTGTCCATCCATCCATCCATCCGTCCGTCCTTCCTTCCTTCCTTCTTTCTCCGTTCTT